AATGACAAATGTTTTCTTTATATTTCTGAGGATCGAACACGCAACTTCCATATCTGTAGTGAAGTGAGTGTACCACTAGGCTACACAGACGCTGGTAAATCAAAATGCTTTTAGGAATGTGTTTTTTAAGTACCGTATTCAAGCGACAGATATTTTACGCCTGTTTCCTAAGGTTCATTAAAAGTATGTTTGAAACATAAAAATGTTGATTTTATTGTTTTAAGTTTCTTATTTCGATTTATAAGTTAAATATAACACTTCCCCTTGGTTTTATCCCATGGATGCTGTTTTAGATATATCAAAAAACGAGGATGTGCTTTATCCTACACGTAAACATGGGATAAACGAGGGGTCAACAGGGTCAAGTTGACCTGCTTTGGCTGATTTGTTAGCTCACCGGGTCTGAAGGAACAAGGTGAGCTAATGCCATACTGTGGTGTCCGCCTTCCGTACGTCAACAGTTTATTCAACAAATCCTTTTTCTGAACCACTTATAGGAAATTAACAAAACTTGACTGGAAGCATCCCTAGGTGGAAGGCATTCAAAATTGTACAAATGGTGGGCCGCACGCACGCACGCACGCACACACGCACTGAGGGGCGGGGCCAAATAGGGGTATTTAGGCTATATTGTTTTAAAAGACTTCTTCTCTGGAACTAAGTAATAGATATCAACCATATTTGGTTGGAAGCATCCCTAGGTATTGGGGATTCAAAATTGTACAAATGGTGGGGCTGACCCCCCCAGGGGCTGAGGGCCAATAGGGGTAATTTGGCTATATTGCTTTAAACAACTTCTTCTCTGGAACTAAGATATAGATATTAACCATATTTGGTTGGAAGCATCACTAGGTGGTGGGGATTCAAAATTGTACAAATGGTGGGGCTGACCCCCCAAGGGGCTGAGGGGCGGGGCCAAATAGGGGTATTTTGGCTATATTGCTTTAAACGACTTCTTCTCTGGAACTAAGATATCGATATTAACCATATTTGGTTGGAAGCATCCCTAGGTAGACACAGTTAAGATCCCCACCGTATAACCATATGTACAATTGCTGAGTATAATGAGAGGAATGCACATATGCTACCAGGACTGGCCCTTCTGTTCATCTGTCCGGCACTCCCAAAGGAGTTCGAACCTTGACCATAACATGCAAACCAATATTATCCCCACCCTATAATAAACAGAGACATTGTTTACATTTGTTTGTTATGAAGAGAATAATATATTTATGCCAATAGGATTCGCCCTGGGATCCAGTCTTGCCTCTGGAAACTTAGATCCTGGGTCATAACAAGGAAACAGTTCAGATCTTTATGCTACATTTGTATCTGGAGAAATACCCGTTCATGCTGTCAGATTTGTCATCCACCTATTTTAAATGCTGTCAGTCAAAATTACGAAATATTTGCAGTATTATATACATGTACAATGCAAATGCAAATATTTTGTCATTGCGTAAATATCCAGGTGAGCGACACAGGCCCTATTGGCCTCTCGTAAGGAAGCAACAGCATTCGAGGCAGTAATCGTGTACCCTCTTGTGTTTTTGGACACACAACTCTTATAAAAAGGCACTGATTGGCTGTATTCAAAGGTCAACATGGTATCCATGGTAAATGGTTTGGGATTTTCAACCAATTAGTCACACACCCATCCCCCAAAATCCACCCTCTCCCTCAACCAACCACTCACTCAACCATCCCCCTCCACCCTCTCCCTCAACCAACCACTCACTCAACCATCCCCCCTCCACCCTCTCCCTCAACCAACCACTCACTCAACCATCCCCCACCACCCTCTACCTCAACCAACCACTCACTCAACCATCCCCCACCACCCTCTCCCTAAACCAACCACTCACTCAACCATCCCCCTCCACCCTCTACCTCAACCAACCACTCACTCAACCATCCCCCTCCACCCTCTACCTCAACCAACCACTCACTCAACCATCCCCCTCCACCCTCTCCCTCAACCAACCACTCACTCAACCATCCCCCACCACCCTCTACCTCAACCAACCACTCACTCAACCATCCCCCTCCACCCTCTCCCTCAACCAACCACTCACTCAACCATCCCCCTCCACCCTCTCCCTCAACCAACCACTCACTCAACCATCCCCCCTCCACCCTCTCCCTCAACCAACCACTCACTCAACCATCCCCCACCACCCTCTACCTCAACCAACCACTCACTCAACCATCCCCCACCACCCTCTCCCTCAACCAACCACTCACTCAACCATCCCCACCACCCTCTCTCTCAACCAACCACTCACTCAACCATCCCCCACCACCCTCTCCCTCAACCAACCACTCACTCAACCATCCCCCACCCTCTCCCTCAACCAACCACTCACTCAACCATCCCCCACCACCCTCTCCCTCAACCAACCACTCACTCAACCATCCCCCACCACCCTCTCCCTCAACCAACCACTCACTCAACCATCCCCCACCCTCTCCCTCAACCAACCACTCACTCAACCATCCCCCCACCACTCTCTCCCTCAACCAACCACTCACTCAACCATCCCCCACCACCCTCTCCCTCAACCAACCACTCACTCAACCATCCCCCACCACCCTGTCCCTCAACCAACCACTCACTCCACCCTCCCTCCACCCTCTCCCTCAACCAACCACTCACTCAACCATCCCTCCACCCTCTCCCTCAACCAACCACTCACTCAACCATCCCCCACCCTCTCCCTCAACCAACCACTCACTCAACCATCCCCCACCACCCTCTCCCTCAACCAACAACTCACTCAACCATCCCTCCACCCTCTCCCTCAACCAACCACTCACTCAGCCATCCCCCACCCTCTCCCTCAACCAACCACTCACTCAACCATCCCTCCACCCTCTCCCTCAACCAACCACTCACTCAACCATCCCTCCACCCTCTCCCTCAACCAACCACTCACTCAACCATCCCCCCACTACCCTCTCCCTCAACCAACCACTCACTCAACCATCCCCCACCACCCTCTCCCTCAACCAACCACTCACTCCACCCTCCCTCCACCCTCTCCCTCAACCAACCACTCACTCAACCATCCCTCCACCCTCTCCCTCAACCAACCACTCACTCAACCATCCCCCACCCTCTCCCTCAACCAACCACTCACTCAACCATCCCCCACCACCCTCTCCCTCAACCAACAACTCACTCAACCATCCCTCCACCCTCTCCCTCAACCAACCACTCACTCAGCCATCCCCCACCCTCTCCCTCAACCAACCACTCACTCAACCATCCCTCCACCCTCTCCCTCAACCAACCACTCACTCAACCATCCCTCCACCCTCTCCCTCAACCAACCACTCACTCAACCATCCCCCCACTACCCTCTCCCTCAACCAACCACTCACTCAACCATCCCCCACCACCCTCTCCCTCAACCAACCACTCACTCAACCATCCCCCACCACCCTCTCCCTCAACCAACAACTCACTCAACCATCACCCCACTACCCTCTCCCTCAACCAACAACTCACTCAACCATCACCCCACTACCCTCTCCCTCAACCAACCACTCACTCAACCATCCCCCCACCACCCTCTCCCTCAACCAACCACTCACTCAACCATCCCCCACCACCCTCTCCCTCAACCAACCACTCAATCAACCATCCCCCCACTACCCTCTCCCTCAACCAACCACTCACTCAACCATCCCCCACCACCCTCTCCCTCAACCAACTACTCACTCAACCATCCCCCACCACCCTCTACCTCAACCAACCACTCCCTCAACCATCCCCCACCACCCTCTCCCTCAACCAACCATTTACTCAACCATCCCCCCCCCCCCCCACCCTCTCCCTCAACCAACCACTCACTCAACCATCCCCCACCACCCTCTCCCTCAACCAACCACTCCCTCAACCATCCCCCACCACCCTCTCCCTCAACCAACCACTCACTCAACCATCCCCCCAACAGCCTCTAACTCAACCAACCACTCACTCAACCATCCCCCCAACAGCCTCTAACTCAACCACCCACTCCCTCAACCATCCCCCACCACCCTCTCCCTCAACCACCCTCTCCCTCAACCATCCCCCACCACCCTCTCCCTCAACCAACCACTCCCTCAACCATCCCCCACCACCCTCTCCCTCAACCAACCATTTACTCAACCATCCCCCCCCCCCCCACCCTCTCCCTCAACCAACCACTCACTCAACCATCCCCCACCACCCTCTCCCTCAACCAACCACTCCCTCAACCATCCCCCACCACCCTCTCCCTCAACCAACCACTCACTCAACCATCCCCCACCAGCCTCTCCCTCAACCAACCACTCACTCAACCATCCCCCACCACCCTCTCCCTCAACCAACCACTCACTCAACCATCCCCCACCAGCCTCTCCCTCAACCAACCACTCACTCAACCATCCCCCACCACCCTCTCCCTCAACCAACCATTTACTCAACCATCCCCCCCCCCCACCCTCTCCCTCAACCAACCACTCCCTCAACCATCCCCCCCCCCCCCCCACCTCTCCCTCAACCAACCACTCACTCAACCATCCCCCACCACCCCCTCCCTCAACCAACCACTCACTCAACCATCCCCCCCCCCCCCCCCCCCCACCCTCTCCCTCAACCAACCACTCACTCAACCATCCCCAACCACCCTCTCCCTCAACCAACCACTCACTCAACCATCCCCCACCACCCTCTACCTCAACCATCCCCCACCACCCTTTCCCTCAACCAACCACTCACTCAACCATCCCCCACCACCCCCTCCCTCAACCAACCACTCACTCAACCATCCCCCCCCCCCCCCCCCCCCCACCCCCTCCCTCAACCAACCACTCACTCAACCATCCCCCACCACCCTCTCCCTCAACCAACCACTCACTCAACCATCCCCCACCACCCTCTCCCTCAACCAACCACTCACTCAACCATCCCCCCACCAGCTCTAACTCAACCAACCACTCACTCACTCTTCATGTTACCATGGTTACAGATGGATTCCCCTGAACAGGAAAAGAAGGCGGATGTCCGCCGTCCCATGAATGCGTTCCTCATCTTCTGCAAGCGACACCGCAGCATGGTGAGGGAGAAGAACCCCGACCTGGACAATCGTAGCGTGACGAGGATTCTGGGAGATTTGTGGGCGAATCTCGGCGACACGGAGAAGTCGGTGTACACAAGTCTTGCCAAACAGGTGGGTGGCTACAAGATCTGTCGCATATTCCTACATGCAAGGGGTTAATGTACGGTTCACAGCAGGAAGTGACAGCATTCGATAGTTTGCGGGATATACAAGTATTTACTACATACAAGTAGATATACCGTATTCGACGTAATAAGCGCCCAGGGCGCTCTCAAAATTAGAAATAAGAGCTCTTATTAGAATATTATTTTGGTAAATGGTGAACGTAAATTTTGTGGTCTATGCTGACACCCTGAAATGTTTATGTACGACAGATATATTTTTCAGAATTTAATTGCCCATAATTAAGGGTACATATAACACTCGAGTGTGTATAATACACAAATAAATAAGTCTTGTGTACATTGGTCAATTGGAAGGGGTGCTAATTGGGATTGTTCACTAGCCAATATATTAGCAAATATCGCCATGGGCACTTATTAGAGCGGGGCGCTTATTACATCGAATAAGTTATGCCAGGTTCGCACATATAGTGGCAGTAGTGGCGATGTCGGTGCTCCGGAGCGCTGAGCACAACCCTAGCTTTATTGGCTATGGGTGAGACTTACCTCTCGCCAAATTCAATCTGGACTAAGACTTCAATAACCAAGGTCACGGATTAAGATATACCGGTAAATATAAACTACAGTAATTAAAATAAGATCAGAGTTCTCGCTGCCACTAGACAAAGATCTGAGGACATCCCATTACAGGGCTCGTGGGATGCACACACCACCCCTATATCCGCACCAAATGTCACTTGCTTGAAAATATCTGTGGTCACATTCAGCATATGTCATCATGTTGCAAAAGATAGTACTAAATATAGAAAAACATGGTCAGTTTTAATTACTGGATGGATGTACATTTCAAAAACATAAAAATCTTACACAAAATCATCCAATCAAAGCTGCCATTTGTTCAATAGGCATTACTTAGAAGTTGACAGATGATTCAATCTACACTGAAGGCTCTCCACGAAAACTGCTTGTTGAACAACTTATTCTGATTTGGTTCAGATGCACCTCCCCTTTACATCCGCCAGTTCAGTTCACGGACTTTCAATCTTTTAAGTATATGGCAATTTCAAACTTTCAAACTTTCAAAATAATTTTTATCAAATGAGAGCCCATTGATGGTTTCTAATTAACAATAAGTGTGAATTATTAGTTTTATTAAGTAGTTTAACATTTTGACTTAAATATTTTTTTATTAAATAGTGTAACACATGGAGAATCTCACCCGAGTGTCTTTTGATATCTGAGTCTTGTTATATTTTATATCAAAAGACACGAGGGTGAGATTTTACTTATCATCCAACTTTTTCAGTTTGTAGACAGCAATAAGCAGTGTCTAAAGTGTAAACAGTAGTGCTAACAGCTTCAGTAGCAGAGCCATTAGTGATAATGTAGATATCGCTTCATCTCAGCCAAGGATATTTCTTCAGATTATCTTTGACCAATGGATTTGATGGTAATTTTCAAGCTTCTCACAGCAATATGTTGTTCGCGGAGCTCTCTATACAGTGAAAGATGGCCACAACCATGCTTGGAGTTGAACTCGCAGCCAATTCACTGTTATGAATACAAACAAGTGACGACTATCGTGACACCGAATACACTTACCCCTGTAAATTACTTTCTTTCTTTGTCAATTTGAATTTTCATTTCATTAAAACTATCATGTAATCTGATTTTACAAACAACAAAGTCTGAAAAACATGGTCAGTCGTAAACCTTTTCCGAATAAACTATGATGGCATTCCCAAATACATAAACAAAAGTATGAACGTGACTACATTTGGGGTTAGAGGGCAAATTTCAAGATTCTTGTTATGGCTTCGACCACACTGGTGGCAGCGATGGTACAGAGAATGAAAGGAAGGTGTCACGCGCTTGGAAGGAGCTTGGGTAATTTTGTGTAAAGGGAGATAACTCTATCGGTTGTTTGTGTTCATTCAACCATTAGACCATCAAGGATTGATGAATCTGACAGTGCAGGGCTTTATACAAGAACAGGGTTTTGCTTCCTCCCCCAGACTGACAACTCAATCAAGGTGACACAAGGGACCACAATAGGGGATAATTTGTTTCTAACTTTATACAAAGACTTGTTAATATCTTCATTCAAAATTGGGGACACGGGTGGCCCAGTCGTCTAAGGCGCCGCAATTCGCTGTGCAGAGTTGCGTCCCTTGGGCACACCAGAAACCTATGATTGTGGGTTCAAATCCCTGTTCACCCCAATTATGTTTCTAGGTTTGTCAGCACCATACACGTGCTCGTGGGTTTCACCGAAGTGGTAAACGTCTGAGACCTGCATCACTTCAGGCTTTCCTCCCACATTAAGCTGACATGTGCGATATAACTGGAATACTTATAAAAGCGGCGTTAAACCCAACTCACTCACTCACTCATTCAAAATTGGTCGGAAAGTATTAGATCCTCTCACATTATGTTTGAACCTGAGACATATTTAACATTAAATGAGAAATCCCTTCTACGAGTGATGCGTAAGTTTGGAATCTCTTTTCATTGTTTGAGAATACAAGATATTAGAAAGAACAAAGACATAGACTGTTCAAGTACTATATGTACATATTGTAAATCTAAGTCCATTGAAGACGAGTTCCATGTTCTGTTAATCTGCGATGCCTTTGCTTCCCAAGAAAGAAGTATTTGCCGCATTTAGAAAATACGTACGTATATCACCAGGTAATGTACAATTTACTCATCTCAAGTGATGTACATACTATTAAGTTGTTCATGAAATACATTTTCTATAAGATTTCAAAGAGTTGTTAAGTTCGCAAATGCCATGTCAGTCAAGTGACTACCAACTTTATTCTGTTCACTGAATTGTACTCTGGGCCACAAGGATGAAATACTGAATAAACATGTCTGTCTGTCTGTCTGTCTGTCTGTCCATCCCACAGAGGTTACTAGGCTTGTGAAATCAACTCCTCCTACAGTTTCCAGAGAATATCCCTGACACTCTACACACAAGATGTCCACATGTTTATGATACGCATATCGCAGTCCCGTTTCATTTTGACAAATTTTGACAGAGTTACTGCCCCTGTTTTACGGAGCTTCTTTTGCCTTATTGTGAGAGAGGGTACCAAGCTTGTGAAATCACTCCTCCTACAGTTAAAATGTGCACATGTTTAATATATCCATATCCCAGTCATATTAATTTCTTTTCATGTTGAGAGAGTTACTGCCCTTGGTTTATGAAGCTCGATTTGCACAACTGTGAGAGAGGGTACTGTTTTTGTGATGTCAACTCCTACATTTTTCAGGGAATATCCCTGACGCTCTAAACACATGCCGCTCTACACACAACATGTGTTATTGATACACATATCGCAGTCGTTATAAATTTGATTTATTTTAACAGTGTTACTATCCTGGTTTATGATCCTCATTTTTGTCAACTGATACAGGTACAACCTTGCCTCAGGTAACAACCATTATAAAACAATGTCATTTAGTCGTGTTGTGAAAATGTTGTGAGCTACATCCTTATGGCATTAGCATTCAGACTGGATTACTCCCAACAGAATGTTCTGCACAATTTGTTTCAAATGCAGTGCCATCTACTGTTGTTATTTCATAAAATACAAAGAAAAGATAAACTCGTTAAAAAAATTCGTGCGGGGGATGTTGTGCTCTCAGAGCACTCTTGTTAATCAAGGTGCTCACAAGATTTGATGCACTTCGCGAGGTAAGACCCATTATTATCATTGATCAGACCGTCTTGACTGGGCACCGCCATTTTGTTTAAGGCAAATGCAAGTCATATGAGAGGTGGAAACTGATTGGTCAGTTGGAGGGGCATAGAAGGGACGCAACTCATAATAGCCACTGGTGGTGCTACGATAAAGCGCAGAATTCCAGCCCAGTTTGGCAAGGGTGGAAACTGGACTATTAGAGACCTCTTGTGACCCCGGGGCAGAAATAAAAGATTGATTCCGAGATGATTAACCCACCTTGACGTGATGTGTTCTGTTACAGTACAAGGATGCGTTTATGAAGGCGAACCCGGACTACAAGTGGCACAACCCAGACAAGACCCATCCCACTCCGACCAAGATGACGACACGGCCCACCAACGCCCGGGTGGTCAAGTCGGTCCAAGAGATCCACCTACATGGCTCCATCATGCCTGGTAAATTAGCAGGTGAGTGCTTTGGAAGAATTGGTTTTATAGTCACGAATATTATTTGTTTGTTTGTTTTGTGTCTGGACCAGACCGCCTCTGTGGTCTAGTGGTAGAGCGTCCACCCGGAGAGCGGGAGGTCCGGGGTTCGATCACAGGCAAAAGACATTAAAAGATGGTACTTGTTGTTACCCTGTCTGGGACTCGGCATTAAGGGGCTATCTCAGTAGGCTAAGTCGGCATCAGTCCAGACTAGTACAAGCAGCCACACACACATGTGCATGCACGTTGCTATATAAGTACAATAATCTGGACGTGACGTTAAACCCCATTTCACCTCACCTCATGTCTGGACCAGACAATCCAGTGATTGACATCATAAGCATTGATCTATGCAATTGGGATACGATGACATGCAGCGAGTCTGACCACCCGATCCCATTAGTCACCTCTTACAACAAACATAGTCTCCGTTTAAGACAAGCATGGGTTGCTGAAGACTAATCCTAACCTGGATCTTCACAGGTCTAAGTGTAACTTATCGCAACTACACATTTGAGATACTGTAAATCTTGAAATTAACGCGAGCGTGAATTAAATGCATGTGGTCTTGGCTCACATTATTAAACATCGCATTTATATCAACAATAAGACATTTTGGATAGCAGAAATACCAACTTAGACATACACTGAAAACAAACAACTATGTTTTCCACATCACTGTTCATTGAGCAGCACTTGTAACAAGTATATAAACAATGTCATTCAAACACTAATTACATCCTGTGAATTGTCACTGCTGGGGTCATGACAAGAGTTCTACTCACTTATGTCATCACTGACCACACCTGCAAGTCCAGACAGACACCACCCACGCAACACAGTGTCTTTGTTCTTTGCGACTGCGTCAAAGTCCGACACGAGCCAGCACGCATGCATTGTTTTAGCGGAAGTACTCTACTCAGCGCTAATAAGCAGTTCTATTTGGCGTGTGATTGGATTAATGTAAGGTTGGATTAAGGTGAGGATTCTTCTGTAAATCTGACAGAGGACATTTTCTTTAGATAACATATCCTCTGATGCTTGAGAGGAGGGGTGGGGTGTCGCATTCATATTAAGTTGCATTTTTGGCAAGGGGCCAGCTTTCGCATTCTTTTGGAGACGCATTAATTTCACGATTTACAGTAAATTTACAGATTTATATCTTATCCATTACTCCAATGGGAGATAACCAGAGGAGGATATTTTACATATCGCCAGTTTTTCATCTTGTTGGCAAAGTTTGGATAGTCTGCCGTGTCGTACCAAAACACATTAAAATATGGTATTTGTTGTTACCGAGCCTGGCGCTCGGCATTAATGGTTTTCAAACAAGGACTGGTCGGCTTGCAGTAAGTGTTATGTGTCGGAGCTGGGTAACCATGTTAAATGGCAGTATTGTATCTCAGTCGGTCCGACTATAAAACTGGAATAAATCCTGATTAGTACAAGCAGTCATAAATATGTGTGCTTGCACATCGCTATTTAAGCACAATAATCTTGAATGCGACGATGTTAAACCATTTTGCACCTCTCCTATTCCTAGCCATTGAATATATATTGTTCAAACTACCGAGAAGTTCCAACAGCAGCTATCAAGTGTAACCAGTGCAGGTGAACAGAAATGTGTTAGAACATTAAAAGGCTAAATGTTTATGTTTGGGAACTGTTTCAGATCCGTCCAAACGGCTAAATGTTTATGTTTGGGAACTGTTTCCTATCTGTCCAAACGGCTAAATGTTTATGTTTGGAAACTGTTTCCGATCCGTCCAAAAGGCTAAATGTTTATGTTTGGGAACTGTTTCCGATCCGTCCAAAAGGTTAAATGTTTATGTTTGGGAACTGTTTCCGATCCCTCCAAAAGGCTAAATGTTTATGTTTGGGAACTGTTTCAGATCCGTCCAATATGGGAGGCCTAAGCCTGCTACTTATGGCCGGGCAGCAGTCAATGACGCCTCGGCACACAGGGGAGGCTGAGCGGAGAGTTACCTCCCCTGACAGCAAGTGCACTTCAAAATCCGCTTTGTTGGAGCTTGCTGAGGTATGTTTCTTGAGGATGTTTCAACTGTTTCTGTTTTGTACACAAGTCTATTAACATGTAGCCTGTATTGCTTCGGTCACTGCATTGCAGGAATATTCAGTGTTTGGCTGCTCGTTGTCATGTTCTCAAACATCTTCCAGAGGCAAGGGAGTTAACTGAATATAAAAGTCAAGTTGCCACCCTTGCCGAACTAGGCTGGAATTATTGAGTTATATTTTTGCTGGACTAACGAGTCTATGCATAGTCCAATCAAAATAGCGCAATGAAATCGACATCCGGTTTGTAAACTGCAGTGCCATTCGTGACCAACTCGTGTTATTCCAGGACAAGCCGAATAGCGACTCGTGGCCATTTTTGTGACTGGGTTCCGTCTTAGCGCAAACGGGCATACCTAAAACAATTGTCAACTCGTTGCGTAAAGATTCACACATTTTCCCCATATATTATATATATTTCAGATGCAATTTAAAGCACATCAGGACGTGCGGAATTATACAGTATGATTGAACACATTTAACTGTGTCTTTGGTATATTTTTAGATGCAAGACATATGTAAAATCAAAAATTATTTCTGAGGGATTCTTTGACGAAGAACTTGAAATCATACGCGCATTCTGATTGGTTTGTCGTATTTTCGCACATAACATTCATTGATAGGGGGACGAGTCTTCTTGCAGGTGACGGAAAGGGGCGAGTGGTGACGAATGCTGCAGTGCACATTTTGGTCACTGACTCATTCACTCACCCAAAGCATGTATACCGCCAACTCAGCATCAACAGATATTTTCAAAATCTTTTCATACTTTTCATCAAGGTGCTCATGTAATTTGATGCACAATACAGATTTTGATTATCAATCAGATCTCCTTGACTTGGCGCCATCCATTTTGTGTGAAGCAAATGCAAGTGATATGAGAGGTGGAATCTGATTGATAAAAAGGAGGGACATAACTCGTAATAGCCACCGGTGGCGCTACAGTCGAAGAAATTCCATCCTAGTTCGGGAAGGGTGCAAACTAGACTTTTACAGTCAGTTAACTCCCTTGCCTCGGGAAGATGGTTCTCTTTCCAAGAAAATGGAACTGTTTTTCATCTTCTATCATAAAAATCTCTTGACTTGATGAGGGCGGTCGGGTAGCCTAGTGGTTAAAGCGTTCGCTCGTCACGCCGAAGACCCGGGTTCGATTCCCGACATGGGTACAATGTGTGAAGCCCATTTCTGGTGTCCCCCGCCGTGATATTGCTGGAATATTGCTAAAAGCGGCGTTAAACAATACTCACTCACTCACTCTTGACTTGATGCATTTTTTGAATTTGTGTCAGGGTCTGTAATTGGTTAAATATAAAATATAGAGCTACAAGTAGATTAAACATATCAAGCTTTGTTTACCACAATAATTTTAGAAGGTTCCAACAAACGGAGACTTTTGATTGGCTCAGATGTGGGCAATACCACATCAGAGCGTTTCCATTCTATTTTTAGTAATTTAAGTCAACACCGTAAATTATCAGCACATGATCAGACCTGGACCCACTTGCACAAAGCGATCTTAGCGCTAAGATGATCGTAACTCCCATACATGAACATAGGCTTACGATAGTCTTAGCGCTAAGATCGCTTTGTGCAAGTGGGCCCTGGGTCAATATGTGTTTCTGTTGAATGAAACATGGCAGCTTCAAGGCTAATGAGTGAGTGAGTGAGTGAGTTGGGTTTAACGCCGCTTTTAACAGTATTCCAGTTATATCGCGGCGTGTCAGCTTAATGTGGGAGGAAAGCCCGAAGTGATGCAGGTCTCAGACGTTTACCACTTCGGTGAAACCCACGAGCACGGGTATGGTGCTGACAAACCTAGAAACATAATTGGGGCGAACCGGGATTCGAACCCACAATCATAGGTTTCTGGCGTGCCCAAGGGACGCAACTCTGCACAGCAAAACGCGGCGCCTTAGACGACTGGGCCACCTGTGCCCCCCTTTAAGGCTACTGAATATAGCAGGAAGCCCTGGCATTATATGACAATGGGTATTGTCACAGCCTTTGTCATTGAAGCAGGACAAAGTCGAGCCTCAGAGTTTTAAACTTTTAACGACTTATGTGAGTTGATTATTTGACACGAGGGTGAGATTGTCAATACGTCAGTTCATTCTGTAAGCTCAACAGTGTTTGTTTGTTGTTTAATGCCTCACTCAGCAATATTCCAGCTATATGACGGCAGTCTGTATATAATCAAGTCTGAACCAGACAATCCAGTGATTGACATCATGAGCATCAATCTACACAATTGTGATACAATGACATGCATCCACCAAGTCAGCGAGCCTGACCACCCGATCCCGTTAGTCGACTCTTATGACAAGCAAAGTCGCCTTTTACGGCAAGCATGGGTTGATGAAGACCTATTCTACCCCGGATCTTCACGGGTCCAGAAAGGGCCCTTCAGGGTTTCACCTTGACCTACCGTAGATGACTGTAGATAAGCCAAGGTATTGACTTCGTCCTTGAAATCGGTATCAAAATGTTATGTGCGGTAGATAAATCGGACCCCCAACCTGAAACTACGTCTCGCCATGATCTGTCATCGGAAATAGAATATCAACAAATCCATGTTGAATTATGAAGTTAATCCTGTCGTTATACCATCGGTAATAAAAAGTGTTTATTTGTATAGCTGGACTCATGTTTGTTATCTCAAACTTTCATTCAATAATATTGACATTAATTTCGGTGTCCATCTGGCATGTGTGGTACTTACAACTTCTGTATGAGGTCAGCTTTACCAACTCACCGTTATTTACAGCTACCATGATCATAATACTGCTATTGACACCTTGAAATGAAACTAAAAAGTGTGATATGGACGTAGTTTTACATGAAGCAGAAATGTGCATTCAGTACGCGGAAATAAATAGCATGGATGCCAGGACAAAAGTACAGTTTCTACTCCTAATTTTAGGTCTATCCAAAAACTTATGTGTGTTCATGGATGTGACTGTTTTTGTTTTTTTTATCAAATATACAAATTAATTAACAGCTGATCATTGAAAACAATATTTCAATGACAAAGTGTTAAATGCCTGTGATTTTTGTGCAGATAATATCATTTACTCTGAGTAATGCAGGATATTTCTCAACAGATGTGTGCAAATGAACTACAACAAGGGGAGGTAACTGTTCCACATCCAAAAAAGCTGATCACTAAAACAGAAAGTGGAAAGAAGGTGAAAGCTGCACACAAGAAGATGGGAGATGTTGAAATTAGCTCAGGGAAAAGCAGAAGTAAATCAGAATCTGATTCCAATACTGAAGCTGCAGAGAGTTTAGGGTTGCCATGGAAATCGGAACAGTCGCTGTCGGACATCTTGAAACTACTCCAGTCCATGAAAGATCATGAAATAAAAAAGAAAGTATGCAAGGAAGTGACAGGAAGTTGCACCGTGAAACAAGAACCAGAGAATTTTGGGAAGGTTGACCCAAGTGGTGTAACTGATAGACCTCCATCAGTGGAGTCAGCTGAAAGGAGAATCCCCGAACGGCCCAGTCCCAGGGTCAGAAGCTGGTCAGAGTCAGCGAAAGATCAAGATGTCTTCGTTGCAGGGATGGGTGACCATTCCAGTTATACAAGCGTCAGGTCAAAAGACGACACTCCGGAGAGACGGAAGTCTCAGGCGGAGACACTAGCAGGTTGTCTCTCCGATCAAAACGATAATGACATTGTATCGTGTGGTAAACTGGTCGTTGATCATATTTTTGATCGACTCTCGTCCACTGAGTTTTCACGGTCAGCAGGTAAATTAAAAGGCTTGACATCAATTGATGAGGTGAGAAAGGTACTTCTAAGTTCCGAATTTGCCGAGTCCAAATTAACCCCAAAAGAGGAAAACCCAGACAAAAATATAGTCCATTCAAGAATTGATCACCTTGTAACAGAAGCGTATCCCAAAGAGAAATGTGCTACAGAAACCAAACATAAAGCAGAAGTAACGAAAGAGTACTCGCCAATTCTGCGCGTTCCTGATTTTAAAAGTTTCCTTGAAACTGAAATGAACCAGAAAAAAAGTTCATCTGATGCAATAGGGTCCGATGCAAATGTAGTCCGGGCGAAGAAGCGCACGATGACCCTGCCTCTAGAAGACGTGAAGCCAGAACAGGTGGAAGATGTCGGAGGGCTAACGCCAGAGTCAAGGGCAGACAGGTCGGATCAGGACAGTTACGGTGGGCTTGAGGATGACGGCAAGGACCGAGATGATGGCAGTTATCAACCGGTCCGTAAGTCGCGGCGAAGGAACCGGGGACAGCGGTATCTGGAGCTGATTAATGAGGGCATCATACAGCCATCCAAAGAGAGACTAGCGGCCAGACGTGCAGAGCAGACGTCAACTGACGATGAAACGTAAGTCGCTGAGGTGTGTGTGTGTGTGTGAGTGTGAGTGAGTGAGTGAGTGAGTGAGTGAGTGAGTGAGTGAGTGAGTGAGTGGTCATGACCTGTGGCAGACTGGCAACCCAACTCCCCAGTACTGTATGTATAAGGATGGTACTCTGTATACAGACTGTGGCTGTATGTATAACGATGGTACTCTGTATACAGACTGTGGCTGTATGTATAACGATGGTACTCTGTATACAGACTGTGGCTGTATGTATAACGATGGTACTCTGTATACAGACTGTGGCTGTATGTATAACGATGGTACTCTGTTACAGACTGTGGATGTATGTATAACGATGGTACTCTGTATACAGACTGTGGATGTATGTATAACGATGGTACTCTGTTACAGACTGTGGCTGTATGTATAACGATGGTACTCTGTTACAGACTGTGGATGTATGTATAACGATGGTACTCTGTATACAGACTGTGGCTGTATGTATAACGATGGTACTCTGTTACAGACTGTGGATGTATGTATAACGATGGTACTCTGTATACAGACTGTGGATGTATGTATAACGATGGTACTCTGTATACAGACTGTGGCCGTATGTATAAGGATGGTACTCTGTATACAGACTGTGGCTGTATGTATGACGATGGTACTCTGTATACAGACTGTGGATGTATGTATAACCATGGTACTCTGTATACAGACTGTGGCTGTATGTATGACGATGGTACTCTGTATACAGACTGTGGCTGTATGTATAAGGATGGTACTCTGTATACAGACTGTGGATGTATGTATGACGATGGTACTCTGTATACAGACTGTGGCTGTATGTATAACGATGGTACTCTGTATACAGACTGTGGATGTATGTATAACGATGGTACTCTGTTACAGACTGTGGATGTATGTATAACGATGGTACTCTGTATACAGACTGTGGCTGTATGTATAACGATGGTACTCTGTTACAGACTGTGGATGTATGTATAACGATGGTACTCTGTATACAGACTGTGGCTGTATGTATAACAATGGTACTCTGTATACAGACTGTGGCTGTATGTATAACAATGGTACTCTGTATACAGACTGTGGCTGTATGTATAACGATGGTACTCTGTTACAGACTGTGGATGTATGTATAACGAAGGTACTCTGTATACAGACTGTGGCTGTATGTATAACGATGGTACTCTGTATACAGACTGTGGCTGTATGTATAACGATGGTACTCTGTATACAGACTGGATGTATGTATAACGATGGTACTCTGTATACAGACTGTGGATGTATGTATAACAAAGGTACTCTGTATACAGACTGTGGCTGTATGTATAACGATGGTACTCTGTATACAGACTGTGGCTGTATGTATAACAATGGTACTCTGTATACAGACTGTGGCTGTATGTATAACGATGGTACTCTGTTACAGACTGTGGATGTATGTATAACGAAGGTACTCTGTATACAGACTGTGGCTGTATGTATAACGATGGTACTCTGTATACAGACTGTGGCTGTATGTATAACGATGGTACTCTGTATACAGACTGGATGTATGTATAACGATGGTACTCTGTATACAGACTGTGGCTGTATGTATAACGATGGTACTCTGTTACAGACTGTGGATGTATGTATAACGATGGTACTCTGTATACAGACTGTGGATGTATGTATAACGATGGTACTCTGTATACAGACTGTGGCTGTATGTATAACGATGGTACTCTGTATACAGACTGTGGATGTATGTATAACGATGGTACTCTGTATACAGACTGTGGCTGTATGTATAACGATGGTACTCTGTATACAGACTGTGGATGTATGATGACTTCCCGCTGGAGGACGAGGTTCAGGAGGTCCGGAGACCAACCACCAAACGATGCAGCTCCGACTCTGACGCCAACCTTGAGGAAAAGAAATACAAGACTGGGTACGTTGATGCTGTGTCAGAGATAGAAAATAACATTTGAAGTTTACATACATTCGTGCAGTGTGTGATGCGGGGAATTGTCAAAACGTCACAGGTTTTGTAGACACTACCAGGCCACCATTTTGTATTCAATAGTGACATAAGGCTGGATAATACGGAAGTCAGTATAATCATTGTGCAAACTCAATCACAGTTTCCAATCATAGAAGCAATGTGTGGAACTTGTTTGGAGTCATTTTAAATTAATTAAATTAAATTACACATTTATATAGCGCTACTTATCCAGACATACTGGCTGCTCAAGAGCGCTCAGTCGTATGCTCTTTTGAAGAGGATGGTCTTGAGTTTTGATCTAAAGGTGTTGACATCTTCAGATCCCCTGACATCAATGGGCAGTGCATTCCATAGAGTTGCACCTGCTTTTCGGAAGGTTCTGTCGCCATATGTTGTTCTGCTGGTTGGTGGAACAGCAAGCTGTAGTTTGTTTGCAGATCTCAGTGTTCGGCCAGGTTGGTAAAGGGCAGTGAGTTCCTGGAGGTATACTGGGGATAGCCCATGGATCGATTTGTAGACAAACATGATCAGCTTGAACACGATCCTGAGTCTCACTGGTAGCCAGTGCAGCTCTTGCAGGACGGGTGTAATGTGTTCACGCATTGACTTCCGTGTGATGAGTCTGGCAGCAGTGTTTTTGCACACGCTGTAGTCTATCCAGATGATGCTGCTGGATACCATACAGAAGACTATTACAATAGTCAAGTCTTGATGTTACAAATGCATGGACTGATGCTGTATTTAATTGTTTTTTTGTTAAAAACATTTCACTTAATGATATAGGTCCTGTGTTGTAATATATTTACGTAATGTAGCCCATCCAGTGGTCAGTGTGTGTGCGTGTCGGAGCAGGGGGATAGAGAGAGACTGGGACTTTAGGGGTAACTTTTTGAAGAATGACATAAGTACACAAGACCTGTGAAGGTCCGATTTAGAATAGGTCTTCGGCAACCCATTCTTGTCGTTAGAGTCAACTAACAGGATCGGGTGGTCAGGCTCGCTGACTTGGTTGATGCATGTCATCGTATCCCAATTGCGTGGATAGATGCTCATGATGTCAATCACTGGATTGTCTGGTCCAGACTTGATTATTTACAGACCACCATCATATAGCTGGAATATTGCTGAATGCGGCGTTACACAACAAACAAACAAACAAACAAACAAACAAACAAACAAAAATACACCACAGCCTTGGAAGGTCGTTTTTTTTAAGAGCAGTCCAGACCTTATTTCAAAAGTCCTCAGAGTTTGTAGCTAGTCCTGCTTGAAGGAGACAATTATATATTTACAGTTTTATTCAGTTCCAATTTATAGCAAAATTGAAGCATTGACAATTATGGCGCTCATATGCTACTAGTCAATTATTGGATTTTTCCTTGTCCTTGTCTCGAGCTATCGGACTAGCGTGAATTTTGAATGCTGCACTAGAAACCTGCGAGATGCACACTTAGGTTTGTGGTTAATGTTTAAGTATTACGTCTTTTTTTTTTTTGCATCATGCATCACTTCTGTATTTTCCTCTCTCAGGGATTTTGACCTTGAAGCTCAGATAGCAACCTTGCCAGCCTGTAGCCTTGACCCTGTGTCACGCGGCAATCGTCAGAAAAACACCCCAACCAAGATACGGCACCACAGCGAGGGCTCCACCAAGAAGACCACCATCGTGTCCTCCCCTACTGCAGGTAACTATGGCAACGGGAAGATGTTGACACAATAAATGCACAAATTAAGTCTCATAACCATAACACATATATATATAACAGTATTCAACGTAATAAGCGCCGAGGACGCTCTCAAAATTAGAAATAGGGGGCGCTTACTAGAATAATATTTTGAGTTGAAAGATCGTAAATTTCGTGGTTTATGCTAACAGCCTGAAATGTTTACATACGACAGATATATTTTTCGAGAAATTAATTGCCCATAATTAAGGGTAATATAACACACGAGTGTGTATTATACCATGTATACACGAAAAAATAAGTCTGGTGTACATTGATCAATCGGAAAGGGTGCTAATTGGGATTGTTCACGAGCCAATATATTAGCAAATATCGCCATGGGCACTTATTAGAGCGGGGTGCCATTACGTCAAATACGGTATTTGAGCTTATTGGAAATGTTAGTAAACTGTTTATTGAGCAACAAGACATTGAATCGATATATGAACATTAAAAGTTCTTTATGCATATTTATCGGATCGTGATACCAAGTTTATCAGATCAATTTATCGCCTTGATAACACCAGCCATTAAATATGATGAAAAACATCCTCACCCCTCTCTAAGATGAGACGACAGTGAGTGTAGAGATGAGGACGTTGACCAGTGATGATCTGTTTGTGCTGCAGCAGTAAGTGATGTCACAACGCTGACCCTCCCTCCCCACCTGAAGATGCAGCAGGTGCCCGTTCAGGCCGCCCCCGTGAGCGGCAGTCGGAAGAGGAAGGCAAGAAAACACTCCATCAACCATCTACTTCCTGCCAGCGCAAATAGCGAAGACAAAGAGGATACAGGTGAGTAAAGCATTTATTACAATAAAGACTGTTGTTGAGTTATTTTTGGAGACCCTGCCTTTTTTCAGGACTTCCCTATAGGGATCTTGGGCAGAATATAAATGTATGACACATGAAGAACGAGTTAGAATTGCTCTTCAGCAACCCATGCTTGTCGTAAGAAGCGACTTGGTTGATGCATGTATCATATCTGAATTGCATGGCGCCGTCATATAGCTGGAATAGTGCTGGGAACCGCGTTAAACATTAAACAAACAGAACATCAATGTTCCCACGACAGCTCACAAAGTCAATCGCTAGATTGTCTGGTCCAGACTCAATTACTGTAAACAGGGAATTTTTTGTGACCGTTTTATTATTGCGAGTTTTGCGAACGAGACTCAATCGCAAAAATTAAAATCGCAAAAATAAGTATAAATAATACATACATTCTTTATTCATTGCAACACGTCATCGAATGTTGAAATCATCAACCAGAACCACAAGTTACTCAATAAGTTAAAAACACAAATGAATGCAGAATGGTCACACAATACATCACAAATGACAGTGTAAACAGACCAATTAGTGTCTTCTTATATAGTTTGCATTCAAACTCACAGTCATGGCACTGAGTTGAGTCAATTATCGTATTTGATAATTGGTCGCAATCCCTTCCGGTCAACTTTCCGGCCAACTCAGATTAACTAGCTTCGGAGAGAAGCTGTTTATTGTTTGGTAATCGAGGGGTCATATCAACACGGCAACACGCAAAAATATCTCGTCGCAGTATTGTCTTTAGTGTGGTATTCGCAATATTTTAACGGCGAAGAAATAAAGCTGTTTACAGTATATCAACACGAATCGATAAAAGCTATAAATTCTTGAGGCTTGCACAGGAGTTTAATACTTTTACAAGAGATATGTTTTATAACAAAAGACACTAGAATGAGTTCCATTTATCATCCAAATCAAATTTATTTATCCAATACTGTAAATTATAGGGAACACGCTTATAACAAACTGACGGATATAACGAACTGTTTTTTTGGTCCTGATAACTGGCTGTGTATTTTATTATATAAAATTATTGGATATAACGAACACGCTTATAATGAAATAACATAGCAAACTCACTTTGTGGTCCCGTGTGCACTGTCTACAACAATGCTTGTGTTTTTAACGAACTTGTAATCTCTGAGTTGCTGAGACCGCCTCCGTGGTCTAGTGGTAAAGTGTCCGCCCGGAGACCGCCTCCGTGGTGAAGTGGTTAGAGTGTCTGTCCGGAAACCGCCTCCGTGGTCTAGTGGTAGAGCGTCCCTGGAGAGCGCCTCTGTGGTCTAGTGGTAGAGCATCCGCCCGGAGAGCGGAAGGTCCGGGTTTGATCCCCGGCTGCGTCATACCAAAAGACATTAAAAGATGGTACTTTTTGTTACCCTGTCCCGCTCGGTATTAAGGGGCTAAATTAGGACTGGTCGGCTTAGAGTCAGTATACTGTGTCTGAGTGGGGTATTCATGTCAAACTGCGGCATGGTATCTCAGTGAGCTAGCACTATAAATCGGCATCAGTCCGGACTAGTACATGTAAGTACAATAATCTGGACGCGACGTTAAACCCCATTTCACCTCACCTCGAGTCTGGACCAGACAATCAAGTGATTGACATCATAAGCATTGATCTATGCAATTATGATACGATGACATGCAGCGAGTCTGACCACCCGATCCCATTAGTCACCTCTTACAACAAGCATAGTCGCCTCTTGAGACAAGCATGGGTATTCATTTTAAACTGCGGCATGGTATCTCAGTAGGCTAGCACTATAAATCGGCATCAGTCGGCATAGTACAAAGCAGCTAGACAGTTAAGCAGGCACGCATCGCTATAATCATGGGCGCGACGTTAAACTCAATTTCACCTCATCTCATTTATGGTGACCCTACCTCCAAAATAACAACGTGTGTATTCCTGTTAATTAAATATTTTATCTTCGCCAGTAGAATTAGAAAAAGCCTCCCCAGGTTCCACGAATTTATTCAGTTATTACAGCAGCAATGTAAATATGAGTACTACATAGCATTGGGGGCGGTCGGGTAGCCTAGTGGTTAAAGCGTTCGCTCGTCACGCCGAAGACCCTGGTTCGATTCCCGACATGGGTACAATGTGTGAAGCCCATTTCTGGTGTCCCCCGCCGTGATATTGCTGGAATATTGCTAAAAGCGGCGTAAAACCATACTCACTCACTCACTCACTACATAGCATTGAAGTCGGAGCAACTCACCAAACAACGTTCTGCAATTCTGTGTAAAATATCAAACTTTACTGTCCATCTACAGGTAAACATTTATTATTACTTGCCCGTGAAGAGATCACCCGTTTAATAAACATACAGCTGTATTACACATTGTGTAATACCAAAACGCGTGCTTATGTACTCTCGGAACACGTTTCACGAACAAATATTGAAAGCTCTCAACATCCCTTGGCGTATTCAACGACATTGCGTGTGGAGATGATAGATCACTGGGAGGAGCTTATGCACACTCGATGACCCCAGCAACCTTGTTGCTAGGCTGACGTCACATGGCATTGTTTCGCCGATGGATCTTGCAACAAAATTCAACAAATTACGTCATCGGGTATTGTGACGTGATTGTAAACTTTGAGGTGCAAGGCCCCGTTCCACAAGGCGATCGTACGGTAGCGCAACGACACTCGTTAGTCTAAGTTAAATTATGTGAGTTGTGATAGCCTTAGCACTACGATAATTTTGTGGGACGAACGCCTGAATTCTAAAGGTGGACCATTGTATGATATTAAATTCATAAGTTTCAACTTTTGACATGTTTGAAGTATTATTCTGTTAAACTCAATTGGATTATGCCATGGATCGTGTAGGTGTCAGCCTATTTACACTCAACAGTATAATTCTAAAAACGTTATAAATGACAAGTAATAAATAAAATACTAAACGAGCTCCCGTGTAAAACCAATTTTATGAAACTCGTGAATAGTTGTGGTATCTGACGAGCTTTCGCTCGTCAGATACCAGAACTATTCACTCGTTTCATAAAATTGGTATTACACGGGAGCTCGTTTAGTATTCTATATGTATCTATACAATGTTAGTGTAATAACAGGGTATGAAACTCCCAAAATTTTCAGCCAGACCACAGGACTGGCTAGCTGAAATACTTGCCAGCCCTGACCAAAACCTGCCTGCCCACTATAATCATATGTTTCTCAGGATAACCTAACGGGGTTTCTTTTTGCTTATATTTCATCATTCATCTTTACATGTGTGAATTAATGATTATCATCGGGAAATATTTAGAATATTGTCACATATGAAATATAACCCGACCGTCGGGCAGGGGGATTTGAAAATCTGGCAGCCCGAGTTGAAATCAACCCGTCTCGGACGGTCGGGCAGGCAGGTATTTCGAACACTGGTAATACCCTGTAACCAATGTTATACTGGATAAAAGTGTCACAGTCTCATAAGAAACGTATGAACGCCGTTCATACACTTATGAACATCATGTGACCAGCCTCTCCTCCAATGGAAAAGCTGTATATCATGTAAACTTCAGATTAAAAAATGATTATAATTAAATAGAGGTGAGCTTTTGTACCTCTTGTTCTGTTTGTTGTTTACACCACACTCAGCAATATTCCAGGTACCGTATTCGACGTAATAAGCGCCCAGGGCGCTCTCAAAATTAGAAATAGGGGGCTCTTATTAGAATATTATTTTGGTGGAAAAAACAAAGTTGAAAGATACATTTCGTGGTTGATGTTGACAGCCTGAAATGTTTATACACGACAGATATATTTTTTCAGAAATTAATTGCCCATAATTAGTGCGTATTTTAAGCGAATAAATAAGTCTTGTGTACATTGATCAATCGGAAGGGGTGCTAATTGGAATTGTTCACTAGCCAATATATGAGCAATTATTGCCGTGGGCGCTTATTAGAGCGGGGCGCTTATTACGTCGAATACGGTATATGACGGTGGTCTGTAAATAATTGAGTCTGGACCAGACAATCCAGTGATTGACATCATGAACATCGATCGATGACATGCATCAACCAAGTCAGCGTGCCTGACCACCCGATCCCGTTAGTCGCCTCGTACGACAAGCATAGTCGCTTTTAACGGCAAGCATGTGTTGCTGAAGACCTATTCTACCCCGGATCTTCACTTGTTACCTCTTGTTCTGACATATCTTAACTGTTGCTGTTGAATACATCGGAACATTATTTTGTTTCAGACCTAAATCAACCTGCTGGTGAAGATGCCACAAAAGAAATTACATCTATCAAAGATGAGGAAGGTCAAAGGTCAGTGGTTTCTAGCAGCCAATCAATGGACAGGGATGACAGATCTCAGGAAGAAGGTCATGTGTCACATGACTCAACTGACCAATCAGATCCAGATTCGGAGCCTGACATGAAGAAAGTAGCGACAGATGAGGAAGTCAAGAAAGATGCCAGTGGTTGTGAAACTAGCCAGTCAGCAGGTAGCTCTTGCTCTCACCCAGCTGAATCTGACCAATCAGATACCTCGAGACACAGCCCCGGAAAAGGATGTGACAGGAATGCAAATATCAGTATGACTGAATCCGATGTTTTGGATTTCCGGACTTCTGAAATTGTTCCCGGTGTTCGAAGCAAGGATGGGTGTGTTCAGTCAACAGCATCTGCGACGATGAAGTCACAACCCGGTGATACTTGTGCCATTCAAAGCAATATTAGTAGTAAGCTAATGCAATCAGAATCTGTAGCAAAGGAAAATCTCGGTGATTCGGTTCTTACGCAGGTTATGGAGGGACATCTTCAAGATTCAGAGAGCGATGTCTCTCTATCCGAGTCCATACGTCCAGACAAAGTGCTGGATTCAAAAGCAACAGAAATTCAATCTCAGGAAGACAAGGAATGCACTGATAGTGGGACGGCAAACGAGACCCTGACTTCCGGGCTTGGCTGTGAGGGTTCCAGTCATGTTAATAAGCCATTGCCTAGTAGTACAACAACTCTGGTCTCAACTGTTCATTCAAACAGACAGGCTGCTCTGCCACAAGAATCGGATATTATCAGTTCTGAATCCTTCTCGACTCCTACATCTTCCGTCAACATTGTTACGTTCTCGTCTGCGCCCGCACCCTCTACAGTTGACCTTGTGACCTTGTCGACATCTGCTGTTACCCAAGGCGTCAATTTAGAAGTCCTGACCGAGAGAACAGACGACAGCCCCACCAGCAGTATCGCACAGTCGCCTCTTGCCGCCGGATCTCCGTCCGTCGGTGTGGTACATTCTTAAAAGCTGATCATCATAATTCATTTTAGATTTTGTCTAGGATTCTTGTGACCTTGTCGACATCTGCTGTTACCCAAGGCGTCAATTTAGAAGTCCTGACCGAGAGAGCAGACGACAGCCCCACCAGCAGTATCGCACAATCGCCTCTTGCCGCCGGATCTCCGTCCGTCGGTGTGGTACATTCTTAAAAGCTGATCATCATAATTCATTTTAGATTTTGTCTAGGATTAAAAAAATAAAAGAATTGGTTCTCAGGCAATGACAGTAACCAGGGAAAGGGTGACAAGAATACAAACTCCTATTGCCGCCATGACCATAACACGAGATGCACAGAAAAGCAGTGCACATGTAAAGGGAAGTAACTGCGTGCTGTATTGGATCACATTTTTAAATATTAAATATTTTTTTATTTCGAAAAAAAACAAAATGTGCGGCAGACTTTATGATGAAGAGGGCGGTGCCTGAGAACCAAGACTATTATTTTGTTTAGCCCTATTTTGTGCATGTGCAGTCATCCTCAGATTTTAGACACTTGTGTATTGTCGCCTTGCTCTAATGATATTCGGAGCCACATAATGTTGCATTTCGAGTGAGCCATTGTGTAGGTCTCACGAGGATATTCTAACGGTGCTGCACATATTTCCGTCTGTAGCAGTTCACCTCTGCTTCTTTCACCACAACCAACTTGCAGACGCACATTTGCATCAGCTTCTGATCTTTAATTGGAAATACCATGATTCCAATGTAGAATGTTTGGTTTATTTATTTGAAATTATTATTTAATTGAATGTTTCATTGGTAGAAAAAATAGACTTCACAAGGTTACAGTTTTTAGCGATCTTTTTAACTATCTGGAGGAGCACCTTAAAATTTTAGAAAACAGAATTTGATAATTAGTCAAATGAAGTGTATTATTAATACTATTTTTTTATCAATGATACGGATGTTAATAGTAAATGACCCTGTGGGACTCGATCTGCCTCGTGGAACTTGTTTTATCTTGTGACGCTAGACTCATTCATGCCCGAGGCAGACCAATGGTTTCTGGCTTAAAGGATAAACAAGACTTCTACAATGTTACACTTTGCAGAAGTAAGGAAATAAACAGAGGGTATTTATTGTTTCTCGTCACATAGCATGTTTATCTCATCAAGTGGCCTCAAAAGTTGATGTTTCAGTGAAAACGTAAGCTCTGCATGTCTCGTGACTAGAACAAGTTTCCGCCCTTTCCGAAATGAGCTGGAATTTCGTGGCTCGATCATGGCGTCGCGAATGGCTATTTAGAGTTCTATCCCTTCTATGGACCAATCAGATTCCACCTATCATATCACTTGGCGGGGCCCAATCAAGACGATCTCAAATATAATCATGATCTATTTTGTAATAAAATGGGTCTTACCTCGCTAAGTGAAAGAAATCACTTGGGCAAGTTGATAAAACACGAAAAGATTTGGAAAATATCGGTTGACACCCAGTTGACGGTACATGTTTTGCAAATCCATGCAATCGACTGCACGGCAGTTGCCATGTTCTTGACAAACCAGATGTTGATTTCGTTACACGATTTTTGATTGGACTGTGCATCGACTCGTTAGTCTAGCCAAAATAGGACTCCATAATTCCAGCCTTGTTTGGACTTGTACTGTGGGTTAACTCCCTTCTCAAGATGAGATGTACATGTTATTTGACAAGAAACATAAAAAACATTCATTACCGTATTCGACGTAATAAGCACCCTGCTCTAATAAGCGCCCACGGCAATCTCAATTAGCACCCCTTCCAACTGGTTTACGTACACAAGACTTATTTATTCGTGTATAATACGCACTCGTGTGTTATATGCACCCTTAGTTATGGGCAATTAAATCCTGGAAAAATATATCTGTTGTATATAAACATTTCAGGCTGTCAGCATAAACCACGAAATTTACGATCTTTCAACTCAAAATAATATTCTAATGAGAGCCCCCTATTTCTAATTTTGAGAGCGCCCTGGGCGCTTATTACGTCGAATACGGTAATTCATTAATTATGTATTTTCTTACCTGATTTTCATGAACTTATCCAGAAAACTTCAGTTTCATTGGGGTTGACTAAGAGAAGTTCCTGCATTAAGTGTTATTTGATTCGAGTAAATGTCAGTCTTATATTTGGAGACACCTGTAGCATGTATTGTATTTCATCCTTAGAATCATTTCCAGATTGCTGTATTTGATCGAGGAACATATGTATATATTCAATATCTTTTGGTTTGCATTTCAAACTGATCAATGCTGATCATTTTTTCAAGATGTTTTTTAGGAAATTCACCTATTATCAGCTCTTGGCATATTGACAAAGATAATTTGCCAAACAAAAAAACAATTTGGTCAGGCCTCAAAGTAGCCGATTTCAAACTGACGTGTTTTGGTAACAGTAATAACAAAATTGTAAAAATATTTCTGTGGTTGGCGCACGTGTCAATGTTTCTACATGTTTATGTCTGCAAAATATGCAAATATCAGTTATTTGTCCATTGTTTTAGGGGGTTTGTCACCATTGTTGAACTTTACATATTTGTTGAAATGAGAAAATATTGATGATATATTGGAAGTTTATCGTAAAAGGCAATTGTGATAAAACCAGTTTAAACTGATGACTTGTTGCCTTGTGCTGTGGGCAGATGGTGTAGCCTTATGAGTTGTCTCCCCTGTGTGATAGGTATTGCACAATGGCACCATTGGTGTTCCAGAAATATAGGGCACGCATTGTTACCATTTAAGTCCTTTGAAGATATACCCACTTTTATAATGCTTTTAAGGCGCTTGTCAAATACAAATTTATATTTAAATTTTAAGAAACAACCCACCATAAAGTGTTTTAAGACAGAAAGGTTAACTTCGGACACTTTTAATTTTTTATCCAACAATTACTTCTTCTTGTATATCCGGGTCAGCTTTTTAGATGTGGTCTGAATATACCGTATTCGCTGTAATAAGTGGCCTTGGTACTCAGAATATTGACAAATGACAGTACGAACTAAAACAATTACCGTATTCGACGTAATAAGCGCCTCTCTATTATATATATTGGCACGTGAACAATCCCAATTAGCACCCCTTCCGATTGATCAAGACTAAGTCATTCACGTATTATACGCACCATTGATAATGGGCAATAAAATTCTGGAAAAATATATACATATATAGATAAAGATTTCAGGCTGTCAGCATAAACCACAAACTTTATCTTTCAGTTCTGTTTTTTTCACAAAAAAATAATATTTTAATAAGAGCCCCCTATTTCTAATTTTGAGAGCGCCCTGGGCACTTATTACGTCAAATACGGTAATGAATTATATTTGTTGGAACAAAGCTTCCTCGAACATTGTTGAAACTGTTTCGAGGCTGTTATATACTGAAAAGACAAGTTATGGATCATGATTAGTTTTGAGGATTTGTTTTGTAGTAAAGACTGGGCACATATTCTCATAAAAATATCCCCCAAAACATTCATGACTTACATTACTGTTTGTTTAAAAACAATTCTATCAGTAGGTGGTGTAAGTGAAGATTACTTGCAGATTGGTCATGTTAGTGGGGGGTGCTTACTGGAGCCGGGCACTTAATACGTCAAATACGCTAAAGAAATTACCATATACCATAAGCACCCACAATTCGAATACGAAATGTTCCGTGTCTTTGTCATTATGGAGATTTCTTTCTCGTGTTTTATCATTTTATTTTGTCAGGCAGTATTCGGGAAGGTGACCGTGTTAACATTAGGTGACGAAGTGACGATAGGCCCTCTCCTGGTTCGATGGGGGTCACGGGTGGCCCAGTCGTCTGAGGCGCCGCGATTCGCTGTGCAGAGTTGCGTCCCTTGGGCACGCCAGAAACCTATGATTGTGGGTTCGAATCCCGGTTCGCCCCGATTATGTTTCTAGGTTTGTCAGCACCATACCCGTGCTCGTGGGTTTCACCGAAGTGGTAAACGTCTGAGACCTGCATCACTTCGAGCTTTCCTCCCACATTAAGCTGACACGCCGCGATATAACTGGAATACTGTTAAAAGCGGCGTTAAACCCAACTCACTCACTCACTCCTGGCTCGATGTCTCCAACAGTGTATGCAGATTCGCTCTTGATCTTTTCTCCTTCACGGTTGACTGAATATGATTTTCATATATATATGACTATTGAATCTCAATCTTGTCTGTGGGTATCATAAAATACTTGTATTATTGTTTGTGTTACTATGGAAACATAGCAATTTCCAGGGACAGGGTTGGTGGTCGTGGCAAGGCTGTTGCTGAATTTGTCTCCTATTATTTTTAGAAACTCCGCCTTGACCTTGTGACCTCTAGTTTGACCTTCACCTACCCTTTCTCTGTCTCCTGTCATGGTTATGAAAAAATAAGGTTAAAATGATTGATATTCATGGAAATTTTGTAAATGTCCTATTCTGTAGATTAGCGTATCTAACTGACATGGTCGTCATAAACAAACACAATTAATGAGCTTTGGCCTGGAGAGTGAGAGTATATGAGTAGAAGCATTGTGTTAAGAAGTGGTTGTGGCAAAAAATAGGGTTCAAATCAGACTTTGTTAAATGTCGGTGATAACTGTCAAATTTGTTAATTTTGTCTGCCGTAGTCACCATAATAAATGCTCTGGTACTCGGAAAGTTGATAGAGGGGGTGCTTGGTAAAATCATACACAGCAAATTTGTTGTCACTGATCAAGCAGTAGTGAACAAACTACGTAATTGATAATAGTTACTAAGCAGTTATTTCCCCTTCTGTAAACAAGAACATATGGACTGTCGGATAAAGTTCAGTCTTATTAGGGGGCGCTTACAAAGACTATTCTCACAAATTGGACTAGAATTTCATTAGAGGGGTACTTATTGGATCCAGACACTTAATACGGTGACTACGGGTTTTTGAAAATATTTGGCGAGCATTCTCTTTTATTGTACAATTGATGGATTACAAATATCCGAAATCGCAATATTCAGCACAGTTCTGTTGGAGCATCGTGGGTGTACCTGACAAACTGGTGGTTGATAGTTCGAGCACACTATATGACTGACAGTGAGCCAGGCACCAGTCGAACATCCACATTTATTAGCTATTGTGACAAAGTAAGGATAAGAATTTATGGATGAACAACTTCTTTATTACAATTAAGAGCGACGTTTCGGTGTACACCGAAACGTCTTGCTTGATAACGGTGTTAGAACCTACACCGAAACACCGTTAGAACCTACACCGAAACGTCTTGCTTGATAACGGTGTTAGAACCTTAATTGTAATAAAGAAGTTGTTCATCCATAAATTCTTATCCTTACTTAGTACTCTAACTTCTAAATGCCTATCAAAGAAGTTATTGTGACAAACTACTACCACTATTCACTGTGATACCCTAATACCTATATCTCCAGCACCACCAGGAATATGTAGAGTTTGACCCCAATGTCTTTTGACATCATATACTGTAAATCTTGAAATTAATGCGAACAAGAATTTAATGGAAAAAAATGTGAGTGGTCTTTGGTGACATTAATGAATCCTCGCATTCATGCCTCCAAGAGGGGCGGTCGGGTAGCCTAGCGGTTAAAGCATTAGCTCGTCACGCTGAAGACCCAGGTTCGATTCCCGATGTGGGTACAATGTGTGAAGCCCATTTCTGGTGTCCCCCGCCTTGATATTGCTGGAATATTGCTAAAAGCGGCGTGAAACCATACTCACTCACTCATGTCTCCAAAATGACTATCAAGAATAAGACGGCCTCCCAGCACACTTTGGATACGGTGTATTGAGCAGCAGTTGTAACAAGTACATAGCAATGTCATTTATAGAATAGGAATTACACAGTAGGCATCCAGTGAGCCATCAGTGAACTGTTTTGGGTTCAATTATTTTATTGCCTTTGAACTTCCTCTATGCCAGTCAACAGACGAAACATATAAACTGTGTTGTTTTTAGGAAAACACCGTTTATTGTTTTTATGGAAGTGCTTTACCAGTGTTCGAAATACCTGCCTGCCCGACCGTCCGAGACGGGTTGATTTCAACTCGGGCTGCCAGATTTTCAAATCCCCCTGCCCGACGGTCAGGTTATATTTCATATGTGAAAATATTCTAAATATTTCCCGATGATAATCATTAATTCACACATGTAAAGATGAAGGATAAAATGTAACCAAAAAGAAACCCCGTTAGCTTATCCTGAGAAAAATATGATTATAGTGGGCAGGCAGGTTTTGGTCAGGGCTGGCAAGTATTTCAGCTAGCCAGTCCTGTGGTCTGGCTGAAATTTTGGGGAGTTTCATACCCTGGCTTTACTCACTGCTAATAAGCGGTGCTATTTGTGTTTGATTGGATTAAGGTAAGGTTGGATTAAGGTAAGG